GAAATTTTCAAAACCTCACTCAGTGCCGTAAGTGCCAGAGATGGGGTCACGGAACTAAAAATTGCTACATGCCAGCTAAATGCATGAATTGTGGTGATTCCTCTCACGCAAAGGACGACTGTCCTGTGAAGGAAGATCCTAAGAAATTTAAATGTTCAAATTGTGGTGAAAACCACAAATCCAATTTTTGGGAATGTAAGACTCGCAAAGCGATCTTACAATCTCGTTCTAACCGACAGGTAGGAAACGCTCCACGTTTCCGACCAGGTACAAATTCCTCTGCTGTTAACAACGGTCAGCGAGGAACAAATTCTACATTCGTACCCGTAGGTACAAATATCACCCCTGCTTCAAATGTTTCATCTGTACCTACTCCCCTCGCTGCTAACAATGTTCAGCGAGTTAATGGAGCTACCTATGCTGCTATTGCAGCGGGTAGAAATCAAAATACTAACCAACGTTCTAACGGAAATTTTGACAATTTTGACTTAGGAAGCATTACTGCTCCTAAAATGGAATTTTTACAGAATTCATTAATTGACATGATTTCTGATATGCTTAAATCTAACTCCATGTTTGATGCTATTCAAACTGGAGTAAAATTTGCAAATAATATTGTCATGACTTTAAAATTCAGTAATGGATTTTAAAGCATTAAATATTGTAAATTGGAATGCTCGATCTCTTAAAGATAATGAAGATGATCTATTAAACTTTTTGAGAGTTCATAACGTGCATATTGCCGTTATAACTGAAACGTTCCTTAAACCTGACCATAAGGTTAAGAAGGACTCAAATTATTTAATTTATAGAAATGATCGTCTTGATGGACCCTGTGGTGGCGTTGCCATCATTATTCATAGACGAATCAAACACAAAATACTTTCTTCATTTGAAACCAAAGTTTTTGAAACTTTGGGAGTTTCTGTTGAAACAAAATTTGGACAACTTACGTTTATAGCTGCCTATTTGCCATTCCAATGCGTAGGCCAGCAAAAGAATTTTCTCAAGGGTGACCTCCAGAAACTTACCCGTCATAGGTCTAAATTCTTCATTATTGGTGATTTTAATGCAAAACACCGCTCATGGAATAATGCTCAAAGCAATTCTAATGGTAATATTCTGTTTGATGATTGTTCTGCAGGTTATTACACTATTCAATATCCAAACAGCCCAACATGCTTTTCTTCTGCAAGAAATCCCTCAACTATTGATTTGGTCTTAACTGATTCATGTCATCTTTGTAGCCAATTGGTTACCCATGCTGACTTCGGTTCTGATCACCTTCCAGTAACTTTTGAAATATCCCAAGAAATAATTTCTAATCCCAACAGCTTTACTTTCAATTACCATAGGGCTGATTGGGAGCAATATCGAACATTTATGGAATATAACTTCGATCCAAACATTCCTTTGCAAACCAAAGATGAAATTAATTATGCTCTTGAATCTCTGACTACTTCTATAGTTGAAGCAAGAGCTGCCTCAGTACCAAAATGCGAGGTTAAATTCGATTCAATTATAATAGACGATGATCTTCAGCTCTTGATCCGTCTTAAAAATGTCCGTAGGAGACAATTTCAAAGAACACGCGATCCTGCCATGAAAGTTATCTGGAGGGATTTGCAAAAACAAATTAAAAAGCGATTCTCTGCCCTGAGGAACAAAACTTTTGAAAATAATGTTTCTAAATTAGACCCGAGTTCCAAACCCTTTTGGAAACTCACAAAAATTTTGAAAAAACCTCAAAAGCCAATTCCAGCGCTTAAAGAAGGTGGTAAAATTTTGATCACAAATTTGGAAAAAGCTCAGAAACTTGCTAAGCAATTCGAGAGATCCCATAATTTCAGTTTGGGTCTTACTAGTCCTATTGAGAATCAGGTTGCTCGGGATTTTCGGAATATTTTCTCTCGGGAAAATATTTTTGATGATTCCTGGGGGACTGATTTGGACGAAGTAAGGTCTATAACTAAAAAGTATCAAAATATGAAAGCTCCAGGTGATGATGGAATTTTCTATATCCTCATCAAAAAACTCCCAGAGAGTACCTTGTCTTTCCTGGTAAAATTATTTAACAGATGTTTCCATTTGGCATACTTTCCTGATAAATGGAAAAATGCAAAAGTTGTTCCAATTTTGAAGCCGGATAAAAATCCAGCTTAAACTTCTAGCTACCGTCCAATAAGTTTGCTTTCTTCAATAAGTAAACTTTTTGAAAAGATAATTTTGAATAGAATGATGCTTCACATCAATACGAACTCAATTTTTGCAGATGAGCAGTTTGGATTTCGCCATGGGCATTCAACTACTCATCAACTCTTGAGAGTTACCAATTTAATTCGTTCAAACAAATCTGAAGGCCACTCAACTGGAGTTGCTCTTCTAGACATAGAAAAAGCATTCGACAGTGTTTGGCATGAAAGTTTGATTGCTAAATTGAAAAAGTTTAATTTTCCACTTTACATTATGAAATTAGTTCAAAATTATTTAACTGACAGAACTCTGCAGGTAAATTATCAAAATTCCAAATCTTATCGACTACCTGTTAGAGCAGGAGTTCCTCAGGGTAGCATTCTTGGGCCTATATTGTATAACATTTTCACTTCGGACCTCCCTGATTTGCCTCAGGGTTGCCACAAATCTTTGTTCGCTGATGACACAGGCATTTCCGCTAAAGGAAGAAGTCTTCGTGTTATTTGCAGCAGACTTCAGAAAAGTTTAGATATTTTCTCTTCTTATTTACAAAAATGGAAGATTTCTCCCAACGCTTCCAAAACTCAACTTATAATATTTCCACATAAGCCCAGGGCTTCCTTTTTGAAACCTAGTAGTAGTCACATAGTCACTATGAACGGAGTTCCAATTTCCTGGTCAAACCAAGTGAAATATCTTGGATTAATACTTGACCATAAATTAACTTTTAAAGATCACATTGAGGGCATTCAAGCCAAATGTAACAAATATATAAAATGTTTGTATCCTCTAATAAACAGGAAATCCAAACTTTGCCTGACGAATAAACTTCTAATATTTAAACAAGTTTTTAGACCGGCCATGCTTTACGCTGTGCCAATATGGTCTAGTTGTTGCACTACCAGGAAAAAAGCACTTCAAAGGATTCAGAACAAAATTCTGAAGATGATTTTGAAGTTGCCTCCCTGGTACAGTACTACCGAAGTACATAAAATTTCGAATGTTGAGACTTTAGCACAAATGTCCAACAAAATAATTAATAATTTCCGGCAAAAATCGTTACAATCCTCAATTGCAACGATTAATTCCCTTTATACTTAGATAAGATTTAGTTTTAGTTATTTAGTTTTAAGATATCAATTGTTATACTGACATGCAGGTTTAAAAAACCTGTTTAAAATACTGAATTGCCAAGACAGAAACAATGTAAAAACACTTAGATATATATCATAACAATTAAGGCTGGTAAGTTACTGTAGTAACTGGAGCACCTAGGTTAAAAATGAAATGTAATTTATTTTGAATTTGGAACAAATAAAGAGTTAAAAAAAAAAAAAAAAAAACAAGGAACTGTGGCAAACGTACCATCTGCAACCCAATACTTTGCCTGTCCAAGACGTCGCAAATTTTCATGAATCCCAAAAATTAAGGCTCTTTCATTATTGTCACCGATGTCAGCAATCAATAGAAGGTCCCCATTATCATCCTTCTGGAATTCATCGGGTAGGTTATGCCTAACGTCCATTATGCCTAACGTCCGTATGCCTAACGTCCGTATGCCTAACGTCCGTATGTCTAACTTCCGTATGCCTAACGTACGTCGTGTACCCTTTGAAGGCCATGGCTGATGTCCAGGGATAAAGTGGTCATCTTGAGGCAGCAACAATATTTGATAGTGTTGAAAGTACAATTTGGTTAGTTGAAGATGCTAATTTCAAATAACAGACTAGAGTGGTAATTTTTATACGATAGATGAGGAGATAAAAGTATAGAGTTGATAGTTCCGTTAGAGTACGGCAATGTGAAATTGTTTATATAGAGAGTATAAAGCGAGCAAGGACAACTTTAATGAATGAAGGTACAAATCGGTTTTATCATCTTTCTTTACGAAACTCCCCCGTTGAAGAGGGATGAGGAGGGATATTCATGTGTTTCAGTCTTGAAAATATCAAAATACTGTTATTTTATTTTCGATTCGTTTGGGACCCTATTCGAAGGAAGTATTCATTGACAGTCTTGCAATTTTCTATAAGGCGAATTATTTGCATGAATTTTCAAAATAGCTACAGTATTGACATTCAGTGTATATCTGAGTTTCTGTTTTAAGAATTTGATGTCAGTAAATAGTGTTTTTTTCCACACTGAATTATGCACCAAATAAACGGGCGATGTTTTTGATGTAGGCCTTAGAGTCCCGTATGCATATAAGTAAATTTAATGCCATATTCATACTTGAATCGGTTGAAAAACACACTTAATCTTCTAGTTAACTCGATATCTATCCATTGCAAGCAATATTTCGATAATTGTTCATGTTTTGAGAGTTGGTGCACAGGTAAATTGAAGTTAAGACGACGCCACTGATGTTGATACATACATAGCTCTAAAATTAGAGCTCTTCCCTTCACCCCAGCAAGCCAGAGTTCAATCCCAGTCGGCGCCGCCGGGATGTTCTGAGACATAACATCTCTGAACACGCTTTCCTTCGAACGGGAAGTAAAGCCGTTGGTCCCCGATTTATGAGTTGATGGGTCGATAGGTAGGGTCCAGGTGTGGGAGCTGCCTTCCTGGCGTCGGTAGCATTGGTGCTCAGCACGGAAAACAATATCGATGGAAAACAAATCAAGGAAAAGAAAAATACAGCTCTTCCCGCCCATTTTAATTTAGTCGAGACGGAGAAGCCATATCCAACGCATATTCAAGTTGTATCAAAAGTTGAAAAATAGTTTTAAAATTTAAAAATTTATTATTGTAATGATGCTAATAGAAACATTTCAAATCAACAACCAGCATTCAAGACAACTCACCTTTTATATTAGCAATTCACCGTAATCCTTGTGTCGGTTATTGCTCACAGCTGATTTACGTGTTGTTTAGCTTCGAAGCTTCCTTCCTTGCCGATGATGTGTTGTCCATACACTTGTATGTGCTCCAACCCCAATATCCGTTCTCTTCCGCCGTTATCAACAGCAGCGTAACTACAGAAAAAAACGACTTCACAACTCTGCAACTTCACTATGCTTTTTCACCACCCTATAAATACAAATAAATGATCATTACGAGCAATCGCACATAACCTCAACTCTGGAGTCGTCCGCAGCATCCGTAACCAACCCCAAGGCACACACTACACGGCACTCGTCTTGTCTTCTTGCCTCAATCAAGAGAGCCACCGAACGTATAATTCACGAATATAAAACCCAGCGATAATCGTTACTTCGATATCATAAATCATCCCCCCGAAATCCATGCAATCCGAAGGAAAACCGAAGAAATGTATGCTTGTTTTGTTTTCTTCGCTCTGCCACACAATAATCCCGACACACTGGGTTAGCGCGGTTTGTTATCGCACTTTGCTTTATTTACAATTTATCATACCAAACACATATTAATTTTTCTTTTCTTCACTTCTTGCACACCCGAAAGCTTTCCTTTCCAAGTTACATTTTTTTCCTTTCGTGCATGACTGCGTTTCGCAACAGGCGTTGGTGAATGCGAGGCAAGCCCCAAACAGGGATTATCCAGTTCATAAATTCCAATGATTATTTTTTATGCAATTTTTGCTGGGCACTGATATCCCCCGGTGAAGGTCTCGACACTAATTTCATGTTTAATTCTTTAAAAAAAAAAAGCAAGACGTTTTCAAACTCAAAAAATCATCGGCTTTCACACGAGGAATTCAGTGAAGCCCACCGCTGAAAAGCTGAGCCGAAAGCAGCTCTCGTTAGAAACCAGTTCCTCCCGACAAATTTCCGTCACGCTACAACATAACCCGCGGAAGGAAGGTCACAACGACGCGAACGGCAACGCCGCCGTGGAATGATCGTCCATCGTCCGTACATAGCTAGACACCGATTATGCTTTGCCCCGGAGTCCTAAAGCCCTGCTGCTTGCCTCGCACACCAATACACTCGGAACCGGGAGACCCACCAGGAAGACCAGACCCGACCCTTCCTCCCCAAACCAAACCGGCTACGTACGACACAGTAGTTCCAAATGGCCAGGAGCGAAACCAGTAGACGCGCGGACGAACGACTATAGCACCTTTACAAACCGAACTGATCGCCACGAATGTTGAAGATCTACTGACTGGCGACGACGAAGGTGAGGCACACGATCGCGAGTACGACTTACAATTTTGCTTACCTTTTTGCTCTCTATGCTCATGGATGCACTCGATCGGTTTTGGAAGGATCGGTCGGCATTGGGAAGAGGTGTGTTGTTGAGCTGTTGTGTGGAGTACGGGGTTGGTTGGTGAGGCTCGATGATGGCGATAGCATAACCACCAATACTATTAAGGATAAACAGTTTCCTCTCCGTTTGTGCGGTTGATCTGTACCGGTCAAATTATAGACCCACAATTAGGGGAAGACGGCCGCTCGGGGTAAGATTATTTGAATTATTGGAAAAATCCACTCTTTAATACAATAAATGATGTAGAGTTCTTTGGCATAGTATAGTTGATGTTGTAAAGCACACTTTCAGAAACGAAGGGAGTGCGAAACCGAACTTTTTGTCAGTGCGAACCTCAACCTGAGCTAGGTTTTAAAAACAAACGAACAAACTGACGTTTGTCAGAAAACAAGTAGACCCAATCTTGATACCCGATCCAGGTTGGAACTGAATAATAAACGAATTCGCTATTAGAGAGCCAAAACGATGGGTTGATAGTGGATGCATGGAGAATACTCCAGCGCAACATTATAAACCAACAACACGTTGAATTAATCTTCACCGTGGATGGAGTTTCTATGAACTCTATCAAAGATTGCGACTTTGTGCTGGATTTTAAATTTGGCAACGCCCAAATTAGGAAGAAATTCCAGAAGAGAAATCTGGCTCAAAGAAATGAATCAAATGATCGTGGGAGACCAGAACACAGGAGTGACCATGACTCCGATAAGACCCACGAGGAAACTGGTGATAACAGAATGGTCGTAGATCATTCAGATAAAATCCCAGGATCCAGTAGTGTCAAGGACATGCAAGAAAAACTAGATTCTGGTCATACTACAAATACAGTTAGCGTTAGCGTTAGCGTTAGCGTTAGCGTTGTTATGATATACTTCGTAGATTGGATACTAGCGACACTCACGTCTCTTCTGAAATTCTCAGTTAGACTACTTTCAGGAATAATGCTGAGGAGTAAACATTGGTTCCAATCTAAACAAGAGTAACAGAAGCATGACTGTCGCTATTCCCGGCCACGCCCATCTTTACCATAACTAGGGATAGGGAAGGAAATGTTGATGTAGTACTTACTTAACGAGAGGCCACCGACTTAGCGACACCCTCATAAGTGCTACGGAGTTGGAGGGTTGGGTAGGGTATTCGGTTAGGATTCACCTCAAGTTGGCGATGCAACCAAAAGTATGTATTGTTTATTTGTTGTTTATTTAATCTCTCGATAGCCGGCTATCGAAAGAACATATTAATTTTGTTTAGTGATAATGAATTTTAAGAGTCATGATGGAGAGCTTGGGATTAAACCCATGATTTTCTGCTCAGTAAACAAAAACGATCCTTCCAGGGTCATCGAGCATCTCAGAACCATAACGCTTCGCGACAATACAGGACTACGTTTTCGCTTGATATGCAAATAGTTTCCGAGGTTAATGTTCAATATCAAATATACAAATGATGGTGGCGATTTATTGTGCTGTGGAAGAGCTTGGGGTTAAATCCATGATTTTCTGCTCAGTAAGCAAAATCGATCCCTCGAGGGTCATCGAGCATCTTATAATCCACAGCGCTTTGAATAACTATTATTTACGATAATTACATGAAATAAATAAAATATAAACTACAAACAAAACGTGACTGCTAAAATCTCAAAAAGATAGGAATCTCAAAACCATTAGACGTTATAATGATACTCTGCACATATTAGACACAAGAAGAGGCCAAAAAGCAAGCGTCCGACACACAAAACCCGTCAAATCCACTTGCAGTCACAATCAACGATTCTACGAATCGCGAGCGCTCACGAATCATGAAACCGCTGACTGCTACACTCTGAAAGCGAAATTGACAGGCTCTATGCGTCAAACACCCGCCCTCCAATCTCCACCCGCATCCAACAGCACAAATCTCCATTACAACATCTAACGAATTCAAAACTCCGAAAATCACTCATCTATAGCAAGTGAGTGGAAGCAACCCTGCATGCAACCATTCTTAATGATACACTTGTTCTGCCTATCTTTCTATTAGGCCTGTGGACATGCGTTAGCTTCGAAACTTCTAACCAAACTGGGTAAATTTTCAGATCACAAAAAAAAAACTTGAAAAAAAAACGTTCAAAGGTAATTACAAGTAAGATAAATATTGATTATTTTACGCGAAAACGAGCAAGTAATATTAAATCTCTTGTATCATATGCTAATGCAAATTGACTGTAACAAAAATAATATGCTTAAATAAAATAAAATATTAATAAAATTATATGCAAAATTTACAAGAAGATCATTACTTTATTGGTGAGAAGTTTTTAATAAACCCTCCCAGTTCCTCTGTATACAGAACAAATCTGATACTATAATCAGAATTGCTCAGTCTGCATAATGCAGCCGATTGCATCAAGGAAGTTCTATTAACAACCAAGAATTAATCGTTTGAGGTATACTGAAGCATTAAGAAGGTGATATGTGTCACTATAGGAAATCATCATCGTTGCAAATATAAAGAAATTAAACATAACCCTTTGCTTCAGTACCGTCAACCTCCATGTCCATGGGGAGGGACATACTACAAATACAGTTAACGAGAGCACAAACGATGATCGAGTGACAAATACAGGATCAGCGCTGGGATACAGAGAAATAAATCTCCAGGCGAATATAAATCCACCTATCGGTAACCGCAGGACCAATGTCGGGGAGAAAGTTCGACCCAATAAGCGCAGCAAATCCAATCAACAACATGAAAAGTAAGCAAATAAAATGTATTCAAGTGAATCTGCACCATGCAAAGGGAGCAACCGCTGTACTTTACAAACGATTCACAGAAAGTAAACTGGACGTAGCGCTAATCCACACTGAACCAATATGACATATTCCTGTTATGTGGAAATCTTATAAATTTGCGCTATAAGATAATCCATTGAAAATGATATGATTGAAAATGTGTCAGGTAAATTCTATATGAATATCTGATACATTTTCAATGCTGATAATTTGGTAAGTTTTATATGATCGTCATATGATAAATGAAAATCGGTCAAATTATAATAATGAACTGAAATGGATTTGAAACCCATAAGCATAAGCTTTACTTTTTACCACAATATAATAAATGTGTAACAAATCAATCTAAGTAAAGTTTATGTGATAATCACATGAAATTTACTTCTTTTTTTGACACATATATTTAATCGATTTCTAAAAATAAATCGAAAAATAAACATCAGGCAATGGGAGCTTTCACAGTTGTCTTTTTTTTATTGTAGCTGATTTGGGATTCGATCCAGAACTGTTGAGGTGTGAATGCATTCGGTGTCTGCGCTCGATTCCACTAGGCCACGGCTGATTTCAATATTGAGCTCGTTCAATTAGCACGAAGTAAGAACAGCTCTCCCGACATGGAATGTAGTGCAACATTATGCTCGTTTTGCTAGAGTGAAGAAAAATAACAAATTTATGCTCCGTTTCGGTGGTTTCGTATATTCAAATCTTTCTTAATGCTCCTGTGTGCAATAAAACAACGACTACATTATATGAGTTCATGGAACTGGTTCATGAAGTTTGGGTACTAGTGCTGGAATCTGAATTAGCCGTGTAGAAGGCTTACAATTAGAATCTTAGCAAAGTAAATATTGCAGTAGAATCATTTTTTTTTTGATCTCAATACATTCTTTTCCGCAACCCCTTATCTAATGGAACAATAACAAACAAAGATTATTCTATACAGTATCATTGTCGTTAGCAATATTTAGTTCGACTAATCATTTTAATGAGTGTACGATAACATCGTTGAAAATTGTTTCAATAATTTATGAAGAACAATTATGTAAGATGTATTTAATTGGGAGCGATATTCATCCCAGAAAACCATGACAAAACAAATGTTTGCTGTTGGATTTCTTAAAAGGCAAATCAATGTGACTATACAATGATTGGGATAGATCTGTTTACAATCATTAAACCTCAAAAAATCAAAGGAAGCTATTCCAATGAGATATACATGTTTTACTATACTGCAAACTTAAATGACTGTCCAATAGTTTCTACATGGATGTTAACACGCGACATATCAAAAAACGTCAAAAGTCGTTAAAAGCAATTCCAATAAAATATACATGATTATCTTATAAGATATATCTTTTAGTGAGCAATATTAATCATGAAGACAGGTATATGTTACTGAATTTTCTCATAGTGCAAACTTATATGATTTTCCATTAGTTTCTAGATTTCTGTTCTCTCCCATGACATATCAACAGTTTTTCACCATAAAATATATCAGACAATATTCAAATACATCTTACCTATCGCTAACCACATTCGAAGCAAAGTTTTATCAAGTACTAAGTATGTGAAATTACGATAGAAATCATTCCATATCGCAGTCATAGTTTATAAGTGATAATCCAATGGAATCTATCAATCATCACATAGAATGAATAAATCTGCTGACATTGCTATGTTATAAGATGTATCCAATAAACGGTACATGTCGATTTGTTTCAGTGCAGGAGCCATGGGCAAACAAAAGTAGGATTCTAAGAATTCCTACAAAATCATGTAAGTTAATTTATGATGAAGGGCAGCTATCTCCAAGAGGTGCCATTATGGTAAATGAAAAAGTTAAAAATTTCCCGATTACAGAATTTATTAAAAGAGACATCGTAGCAATCATGATGCAGGTGCCAACAACCCACGGCAAAACGGAAATTTACGTTGCTTCAGCATACTTTCCTGGAGACGTGGGAGATGTACCGCCACCAGAGGTTGCACATTTTGTGTCTTACTGCAAGAAACAAAATAAAGCATTCATAGTTGGATGTGACGCAAATGCCCATCATACAGTGTGGTCCAGTTCAGACATCAACAGCAGAGGTGAGTGCC